TTTAAAATGTCAGTTTCTGTGATGTAAGAAAATGAGACAAAGATAAATCATTTCAGGAATTTTTCCACCTTTAATGTGACCTATAAACTGTGCAACTCAATTGAAAAAAAAACTGAAATCTTTTAGGGGGGGAGTAAACATAAAAAAAAATAAAATAATGCGGTTGCATAAGTGTGCACACCCTCTTATAACTGGGGATGTAGCTGTGTTCAGAATTAAGCAATCACATTCAAAATCATGTTAAACAGAAGTCAGTACACACCTGCCATCAGTTAAAGTGCCTCTGATTAACCCCAAATAAAGTTCAGCTGTTCTAGTAGGTCTTTCCTGACATTTTCCTAGTTGCATCCTACAGAAAAAGCCATGGCCTGCAGAAAGCTTCCAAAGCATTACAGGGATCTCATTGTTAAAAGGTATCAGTCAGGAGAAGGGTACAAAAGAATTTTCAAGGCATTAGATATACCATGGAACACTGTGAAGACAGTCATCATCAAGTAGAGAAAATATGGTACAACAGTGACATTACCAAGAACTGGACGTCCCTCCAAAATTGATGAAAAGACGAGAAGAAAACTGGTCTGGAAGGCTGCCAAGAGGCCTACAGCAACATTAAAGGAGCTTCAGGAATATCTGGCAAGTACTGGCTGTGTGGTACATGTGACAACAATCTCCCATATTCTTCATATGTCTGGGCTATGGGGTAGAGTGGCAAGACTAAAGAAGAACATCCAAGTCTGGATAAATTTTGCAAAAGCACATCTTAAGTCTCCCAAAAGCATGTGGGAAAATGTATTATGGTCTGATGAAATCAAGGTTGAACTTTTTGGCCATAATTCCAAAAGATATGTTTGGTGCAAAAACAACACTGCACATCACCAAAAGAACACCACACCCACAGTGAAGCATGGTGGTGGCAGCATCATGCTTTGGGGCTGTTTTTCTTCAGCTGGAACTGGGGCCTTATTCAAGGTAGAGGGAATTATGAACAGTTTGAAATACCAGTCAATATTGACACAAAACCTTCAGGCTTCTGCTACAAAGCTGAACATGAAGAGGAACTTCATCATTCAGCATGACAACCCAAAGCATACATCCAAATCAACAAAGGAATGGCTTCAACAGACGAAGATTAAAGTTTTGGAATGGCCCAGCCAGAGCCCAGACCTGAATTCGATCGAAAATCTGTGGGGTGATCTGAAGAGGGCTGTGCACAGGAGATGCCCTCCCAAGCTGACAGATCTGGAGTGTTTTTTTGCTAGGAAGAGTGGGCAAATATTGCCAAGTCAAGATGTGCCATGCTGATAGACTCATACCCAAAAAGACTGAGTGCTGGAATCAAATCAAAAAGTGCTTCAACAAAGTATTAGTTTAAGGGTGTGCACACTTATGCAACCGTATTATTTTAGTTTTTTCTTTTTACTTCCCTCCACCTAAAAGATTTCAGTTTGTTTTTCAATTGATTTGTACAGTTTATAGATCACATCAAAGGTGGAAAAAGTTCTGAAATGATTTATCTTTGTCTCATTTTTTTACATCACAGAAACCTGACATTTTAACAGGGGTTTTATATCCACAGTACATGTAGTTGGACAAAAAAAAACCCTCCAGATTCCAACATGTTGTGGATGCAGGGATTTCTCTCCTCGCGCGATCGTAATTTGACAGTGGGGACTACCCCCCTGCAAGAATACACAGATCAGCACTACAGCCTATGGCTGCATGCACTGACTGAATGCTAGTTCTCCAGCAGGACCATTCATCAAAAGCTGGTCAATAGACAAGTGTCTGTTGAACAGACATCTGTACATATGTACTGAAGTTTTGGTACGCGTACACCCACCTTAAGGCAAAACACCTACTGTATGCATAATAATCTGTTGTGAGAGGGATCTCTGCATGGGTATTTTGATTCTAAAGAGAATATATATATATTCACAAAATATAAAAGAGGCAGATTTACAAGATGGCGATTACAGGTGCACACAGAGCGCTTGCTTAACCAACATTGACCAGCAATATTCTCCACACTTTTAGGTTAGAGAAAGGGATGCTGGCAAACAAAACTAGTAAAATGTGCAGTGAATGTACAATAAATGTGTGATGCAACTTTATAAAATGCATAGGATATATACAAATTTTGATTTGGCATATAGTAGCCCCTGTCTGTCCTTAAATTATTTTTTTTTGTTTATATTTTTATCTAAATAGTTTTCTATAGTAGGGTTTCAAAAGCCGGACCGCAGTATCCCTCCTGCCAAGCCACAGTTTAAAAAAAAAAAAAGAGAATCACACTATCCACTAGTGTAAGGGGGCAAGCCAAGGGGAGAACTACACTTATTCCTGATCCCTCCACTGCATGCAGTAGGTTGGTACTTAGTCCTGACTGCTGCACTATATATGCTACATAATGCTATCTACCATAATCCTAGAACTATGGAGTATACATTTTTTGTTTTTTTTTTTACTGTTTGGGCATGGAAACTTTTTTGAAAGAATTTATCAAGTCCTGGTCTCACAAAGGGTGAGAACCACTGTTCTACAGAAACCTCTAATAATCTTCATCTTACAAATATAAATTAACATATTATATTAAGTTTGGATAATCAATGGTCTAAAACAACTAAAAATATTTTCAGTTTTGCTCTCTTTATTTTCTATTTGCATATAAAACTTAATTTCTACATTTTGAAGACATTATTATTATTATTATTATTATAATACAGGATTTATATAGCGCTAACAGTTTGCTCAGCGCTTTACAATATAACGGGAGACATTACAGCAACAATACACTCCTTGGCCCTACTCCTTGGAGCTTACAATCTAGGAGGGAGGGGATAGTGGTACTAAAGGTAGTAACTATGGGGGATGGACTGGTAGAAGTAGAAGATTCCATTATTAGTTGAGGGCAGGATAGGCTTCCCTGAAGAGATAGGTTTTCAGAGATCACCTATAAGTGAGCAGAGTAGGCGATAGTCTGATAAATTGGAGTAGAGAGTTCCAGAGGATGGGGGAAGCTCTGGAGAAGTCCTGGAGACGAGCACGGGAGAAGGAGACAAGGGAGCTAGAGAGTAGGAGGTCGTGCGAGGAGCGGAGAGTACGGTTTGGGTGTTATTTGGAGACAAGATTCGTGATGTAATTTGGGGCAAAGTTATAAATGGCTTTATATGTTACTGGTAATGTTTTGAATTTTATCCGTTGGGCAATTATCAGCTACTATATGCATGTATATATTTATTTCTTAAAGCGGAACCTCACCCAAAATGAGCAGTTCCACTTGTTTGCCTCCTTACCGCCATCTCTTTAAACATTTGGCATTTAGGTTTTTGGGGGGGTTTTTTTTTGGGGGGGGTACATACCTGGTTTTGACAAGTATCTGCTCCCACTTCCACTGGGGACGCCTAGGTGATCCGGGTGGAAGTTCACCCCCCCCCCCTCCACCTTCACCAGCAGCCTTCTAGGACACATCACAGTTTCCAGAAGACTGCGGAACCGTTTGGTCTCCTTTTTTGAAGATGCTGGCACCAGGGACCTGAAGACCATTGAAGAATCGGCTGTGGTAAGGACAGCACTGGATCCCTGGACGGATAAGAGTCCTTATATTAAAAGTCAGCAGCTACAATATTTGGAGCTGCTAACTTAATTTTTTGGCAGGAGACTGAAGCTTCTCTTTAAAGTATAGGTGAGCCCATACTTTGTAAAACAACCCATTCAGTTTGAAATAGAAAGGGAAGGTAAAATGTGTGTGTGTGTATAAAATATATATTATATGTAAATACATGTGTGCACACATTTATTTATTTCAGGTACTTATATAGCACAGTCAATTTACGAAGCGCTTTACATATATATATTGTACATTCACATCAGTCCCCAACCCTCAAGGGGTGTACAATCTAAAGTCCCTAACTTACATTCATATATACACATACTAGGGCCACTTTAGACAGGAGTCAATTAACCTACCAGCATGTCTTTGGAGGAAACCGGAGTACCCGGAAGAAACCCACACAGACACAGGGAGAACATGCAAACTCTAGGCAGGTGGTGCCATGGTTGGGATTCGAACCATCGACCCTAGTACTGCCAGGCGGAAGTGCTAACCATTTAGCCACTGTGCTGCCCATACATTTAAAAATAAAACTTTTTCCTTTGTTTTTCCATAAGCAATCACGTGAGCACAGTTCTCAGGCTGCATAGGAGCTTAGAGAAGTGGGGAGTGGAGACTCCTTGTGATCATGTGGGTGGGAGGCGTGTAAGCAGGAGGCAGAAAAACAGCAGTACACTGATCTTCCCAGTGATTAGTGTAGCACAAGTTTGACTATTGGATTACAGGCTGTGATCCCAAGTACAATCTAAATAAAAACTTAACATACTAGGATCATGTGTTTTTATGGCTAGTGTGGTCAATCTGAAATAGGAAAGTGGGAGACTGGCATGATCACCAAGTATTTCACACAAAAGAAGCAATGCAAAGAACGGGATACTTCTTAATACAAGTATATTGCACAGCAGACACATATCAGAAATAAAAAAATGTTCGGGTACCATACACTTAATGGAAAAAAATAAGAATTGTGGATGAAACCAAATCAAACCGTTAACAAATAAGACTTTTCTTCTCTTTCTTGTAATAAAGATGAATCTATTCCATATGAAAAATGGATATTTGTGCAACATCCATAAGGGCCGATATGCTGCAATTCCAAAACTTTCAGGCCTTTAGAACATATTTATAAATACAGATCACAATGGCATGAGTGCAGTGAATGTCACATTCACCAGGCAATACACAGGATGAATACAGCAGGCTCCACCCAACACCAGAGAACAGTTGCTAAATATCACTCAATTTGACGATTGTGCGGGTAATCATTGGTGGAAACCGATTTAAAATGTAGTCAAGGATTTACCAAATAATGGTCAGTGAATGGCACAAATCAACCCTAAAATGTACCCTAAATTAATATTTTACATATACATTTACCATTCTTCTTTACCTGAAAGGCTTAGACATCTGAGAACTAAACTTTGTAAATTCCCCTGGGGCTGTCCACTCCGAACCAACCTGAAATGTAAATAAATATCTTTTTTGGAATGTTTTTTTCTTTTTATGAGTAATTGGTACATATGCTAAACTCAAAACAATGATAAAAACTTCATTTAATTGCTAGATATATTCAGTGAACAATACAGTTCTGTGTGATCTATGTCTGCAGTCTTACAAGTAGTATTTTATTTCCTACCAATAACTGCACATCAACAATCCCAGAAAACAGAGACCATAAAAGTGAGAGAAAGAAGGGGCTTTGCTTATAGGAATAGTTGCTTAGCCATTGCTTGCATAAGAATCTCAAAGTTTGTAGTAAAGCATGCCAAGATACTGTTGAAAGGCTAGATAAACTTTACTCAGCACAGTTAATTGCATTAAAACTGCCAGCATAGTTTAAGAGGTCACCTTCATCAGGGCTTGATAATGTCAGACTGGAAAAAAGGCCTGGGCAAAAAAAAAAAGTATGAGCATCCGGATGGTAATTTAAAAACAGCAGAAGGTCTACTATGGTCACTGATTTAACTGCTAATAAACTATCTAGACCAATCCTCAGTCACTGAACTGGAATAAAGATTAGATATGTCTTGATCTGCAAAGCTGTTCCAGGTTGATGCTTCAGAAAATATCAAAGCATGCGGTATCAGCATATTTGTTAGAAAACTGGCATTTTCACAAGGCTGGCTGCTGCAATGGACCTTTCACGGTACTGCTATTCGCACTGTGTTCTTATCTAATCCCAAGGAACTTAAAAGCAAACTTTTCTTCTTTTTTTTTTTCTAAATTCCAGTTTCCCTATGTACCAGTATACCATTATTTTACCTCTGCTGCAGAAAAGAATAAGCTTTCTCTATACTCTAGTGCAGAAATTAGCTCAGCCTCCAAAATTCCTCTATTACTTCCTGTTATTTAAAAAGTATTATAAAATAAACTGCGCAAATATTCCACGCTCATGTTATACAAAGCTGTAAAAACACACCCAGAGGATATCCCCTCTCAAACAGCATATACAAAATAATTTAGTGTTGGGTTAAGTGTAACCAAACAATTGTAAACAAATAAATTAGAAATACATTAAATAATAAGTGATCAATAAAGTGCTCAAAACTCCACATAAGTGAAATCAAGCACAGACAGTCCATATAATAAACAGTAAAGTGCTCAAAATCCACATGAATGAAACCAATCACTTCCAGTTATTTGTCGCTTAGGACACAAAAACTGTTCGAGACTCAGGAAGTACTTAACACACACCCTTTACCTGCCCTACCCATCCAGGAGATTGCTTCCGCCCACCTCTGTAGTTCTATGCAGACATTTTCAGTGAGCACCATTCTCTCTCAATACATAGCCAGTGTCTGCCAAATGAACAATCGATGCAAAATGAAGATTGGGTACAAAATTATTGATCAGCAGAGGAAGAGTGTGCAAAAGTTGAATAATCACATAACAGCTTATGTGGAGCAAGTGTGTTCCTGGAAGTCTATAAAGCTCACTATACACTATTCAACCTGATTGTACATTCTTCTTTAGATCTACTATCAACTATGTAGTGCAAGGATCTGCCTGACTGGATAGGTAGGTTTGTCCTCCTATTATATACAGTGGGGAAAATAATTATTTGATCCCCTGTAGACTTTGTAAGTTTTCCGATTTACAAAGAAATGAAGTGTCTATAATTTTTATCATTGGTGTATTTTAAATGATAGAGACAGAACTAAAAAAAAAATCCAGAAAAAAAATGCACATGATACAAATGTTATAAATTGGGTTGCAGTTTAGTGAGTAAAATAAGTATTTGATCTCCTACCAAACAACAATAATTCTGGCTCCCACAGACTGGCTATGTGCTCATGTGGTACACAGATTAGTCCTGTCAATTTAAGAACGTGCTCCTAACATCAACTCGTTATGTGTAAAAAAAAAAAAAGACACCTATCCACAGAATCTCTTTCTTCTATTCAAACCTCACCACCATGGGCAAGACCAAAGAGCTGTCAAAGGATGCCAGGGACAAGAGTGTAGACCTGCACAAGGCTGGAATGGGCTACAAGACCATCACCAAGAAGCTTGGTGAGAAGGAGACAACTGTTAGATTGTTCGCAAATGGAAGAAATACAAAATAACCATCAATCACCCTTGGTCTGGAGCTCCATGCAAGATTTTGCCTCATGGGGTAATACTGATCATGAGAAAAATGAGGGATCAGCCCAGAACTATAAGGGAGGAGCTTGTGAATGATCTCAAGACAGTTGGGACCACAGTCAGCAAACAAACCATTGATAACACAATACACCGCCATGGTTTGAAATCCTGCAGCGCCTGCAAGGTCCCCTCCTCAAGAGAGATTGGGAGAAAGTGCTATGGTCAGATGAGACCAAAATTGAGCTCTATGGCATTAACTCGACTCGCCATGTTTGGAGGAGGAAAAATGCTGGATATGACCCTAAGAACACCATCCCTGCAGTCAAACATGTAGGTGGAAACATTATGCTATGGGGCCATTTCTCTGCTAAAGGTACAGGCCGCATTTGCCACATTGAGGGGCCAATGGACGGGCCATGTATTGTAAAATCTTGGATGAGAACCTTCTTCCCTCAGCCACAACACTGAAGATGGGTTGTGGATGGGTCTTCCAACATGACAATGACCCAAAACATACCACCAAGTCAACAGAGGAGTGGCTTAAGAAGCCCATTAAGGTCATGGAGTGGCCTAGCCAGTCTCAAGACCTTAATCCTATACAGAAATTAAGGAGGGAGCTGCAACTTCGAGTTGCCAAGTGACAGCCAAGAAACCTTAAGGATTTAGAGAAGATCTGTAAAGAAGAGTAGACCAAAATCCCTCCTGAGATGTGTGCAAACCTGGTGACCAACTAAAAGAAACCTCTTACCTCTGTGCTTGCCAACAAGGGTTTCTCAACCAAGTACTAAGTCATGTTTTGCTTGGGTATCAAATACTTATTTTACTCACTGAACTGCAACTCAATTTACAACATTTGTATCATGTGTTTTTTTTTCAGACGTTTTGGTTGATATTCTGCCTCTAAAAATGATAGACCCTTCATTTCTTTATAAGTGGGCAAATGTATAAAATCTGCAGGGGATCAAATAATTATTTTCCCCACTGTATATAGTTTTGGTAAATCTAAAGGAGATTGTACAAGGGTCATTCTCCCTAGCTTCAATGAAAATGCACAATCTCAATGCACACTTTCCTGCAAGAAATGGCTGTATGCATAGGTGGGTGCTGCAGCGACTGTCTGCTGGACCCGAGCAGAGTCAATGGAGAGAAATGTCGCAGACACACCAAGAATCTCCAATGATGAAGATTTACATAGTTACAGCAAAGCAACGTTTCGGAGTCTTGCAGGACCCCTTCATCAGGCATGTGACACCACATGTCTGATGAAGGGGTCCTGCGAAACTCCAAAACATTGCCTTGCTGTAACTATGTAAACCTTCATTAACCGCTTCCCTGCCACCCTAAAGCAGAAGTACTGCTACAGGGCGACAGGTCTGCGCAAAATCACGTATATATATGATTTGCATTTCCGGGTAGGGGGCGTGCCCGCGCCGCCCTACCTGTGCCACCATTGGTGGCTACAGATGTCAATCATCGAGTCCCAGCCGGAGATTCCCTGCCAGCACCCGGCGATCGTCGAGTAACAATGATAAGGGAGAAACCGGTGTTTTAACAAGACAGGTCTCTCTCCTGCCAGCAAGCACATGCTGCTGTGTATTTTTCTGCACAGCAGAGAAATACACAGCAGCATGTTTTCCTAGCAAAACACACACAGCACATTATGTAATACAGCACACAGTTAACCCTTTGATTGCCCCAGATGTTAATCCCTTCCTGCCCAGTGTCATTGGTACAGTGTCAGTGCTTTTTATTAGCACTGATCCTGATCACTGTATTAGTGTAGTTGGGATGTCAGTGGCAGTTAGTCAGTTCCCACCCAGTGTCACAATGCCCCCCGCAGTACTGCTATAAGTCGCCATTACTAGTATAAAAATAATAAAAATAAAAATTCCAGTATATATTATTTGTATAAGCTATAACTTTCATGTAAACCATTTAATTTGCATGTACTGGGATTTTTATTTTAGCAAAGACATGTAGCAGAATACATTTTGGCCTAAATTTATAACGAAATGAGATTTTTTTTAAAAATTTTTTTACTGGATATGTTTTATAGCAAAAAGCCAAAAATGTGTTTTTTTCACAATTGTCGTTTTTTTTTTGTTTATAGTGCAGATAATAAAAAACGCAGATGTGATCAAATATCACTGAATGAAAGCTCTATTTGTGGGAAAAAAAAGACATAAATTTCATTTATGTACAGCGTTGCATGACCGCGCAATTGTCAGTTAAAATAAAGTAGCACCATATCGCAAAAAATGCCCTGGTCAGGAAGGGGGGTAATTCCTATGGAGGGCAAGTGGTTAAAGCCTTTTGTGGACCCACACTGGAGATCCTTGGTGTGTTAGTGACATCTCTCTCTGTCCTCCCTAGCCACAAGCGCTCAGGTCGACCACCTGAGTCCTGCGTGGCAGCCAATGCCTGGCGAGGCAAGCCTGCCTTCAGCCTGGCTTGATTCAATCCTCTCCCAGGAAAGGCGTTGAACCCATGTGCTCACAGAACATAAATACCATTCCCAGCATGCAATGGGACGGCCCTCCCTTGCAATTGGCCAGGGCTCTATCCATGCTCATGCTGCTCATTGGCCTAGTTCCCTCTCAGGGTCCGGAAGGCTCTCATAGCAGAACGCAAGCCAAACTCAGCAGCACAAGAGCAGACCTGAGTAGTCCATTACATCACTCTGTTAAGCAGAGAGTCCGATTAGATTTTCCTAACAGTCTCTCTGCTAAGCAGAGAAACATAGCTATGCTTAACCCAACTACACAAATCCTAGCACCTACCTAGGAAGGTGCTACAAAAAAAAAAAAGGCGCAACAAATGCAGCAAAACAAATGTGCAAACTGCAAAACGCAAATATGTTTCATGAGCTAACT